ATATATTGCAGATAGAGGCTGTTAAGGGTATAGATGGATGAGATATGCGAATTTCATAGACGGTGGATGTTCCTTGAGTAGCAACTTATTGCAAATACTTCTATGCTGTAAACTATGACAATACAAGCCTGTTCAATTGACCTCAATGTAGAATAGACAAATTTATGATTTTCCAGTCCCGGTCTGCACCAGACGCTGATTCATGGCAGCTGGATTGGACGGGATCCAGAACCAGAAACTGATGTGCGTATCGTGCCTCCTCTAGTTACGATGTTACGAAACACATTTCGCCGTTGCGTCTGATCGAGTCGTTCAGTTGACAGATTTATTGAGAATTGCATGCCAGCAAGGCGCGGTTCGACGACATTCTCTAATCTGGAATATGCTTATATTAAGAACTTTTTGCGGCTCTTGAAAAAAAAAATAAATCCGATATTAATCGTCGCCTGCGCCTAGTCCATCTAGTGGACTCGTTTGGCCCTCCAACCAGGGGCGCCCTCAAAGGATGGCAAGAAGACAACCGTCAATCTCTGGAAAAACGTTTTGATAAAAAAATATTAAATATTTTCTTGTCGCAATAAGTGCTTATGTGTGTATTTATCGGAATACATGCAGCGCTTGATTTCCTGTTTTAGTATACGTATACACGTTATTTCATAATGTTGATAGATCCAAATCTCGTTAAACAACTCCAATCAGAGCTGCCACCATCAGTACGCTAAATTTTCAGCAAATTTAGTACGTCAATATGTTTATTGCAAATTTAGCACGTTCGCAGAATATTGTGTCTTTAAAAGGTGACCAAAGGTATTTTTTTATAGTTTAAAGAATGTTTATTGCCTTTGATTGTCCAATTTCGGTTTTTTTCATTATGACATTTTTTCGTTTTTAGGCGAATTCTTAGATAGTTCTAAAAAAGTTTCTAAAAAAATGTTTTCTGACGTATGACCAAAATACGACGACGCTTGTCCATCGGGGGACCACGTCGCACGTGTATCTATGCTTAATTTGTACGTAAAATTACTGGGGCTGGAGGGGTATAAATATACCAACGTAAAAAACTGAGATATACCCTCCTTCACCTCCTGCAACCCCTAACGTCCAATTTTCACCCTGCAAAAATTTTTTCGTAAATGATCAGAATTGTCCGGAACGTCAAATAATTTTTTTTCTATTTTGGTATTTTCCACCGCAGCCACTGGACCTATTTTCAAAAACTACAAAGCTTTTGCTTCCTTGGAACAGCAGTAATATTATGTAAAAATTTCCTCGAAATTCGACCGGTACTTTTCAAGTTATGCACATGTCATATAACATCCAAAAAACATATAGCGTTTTCGAAAGTTTTCGCGTATACACTTCCTCCCCAGTAGGCATGGGAACTAAATAATCCAAAGAAATTTTGATCACTATCTTGAATAGAACATTAGCGGTCCTATAATGTAATCCATCGTCTTTGGAATCGTCGATACAATAGCCATCTGAAGTTTGGGCAGACGCTTTGTTAACAGCTTGTACAGGGTGTTAATAAAGTATATAGACAAACTTCAATCATCGAATCCTTGGTCGATTTGTGGCCAAAATATCCATATGAACATGCACTAAAAGAAATGTTGATATTGTTCTAAAAAATTATAAAAGAATGGAACGTATTTTATTTTAATTAAGTATGCCCTGTGGTGAATATCACATAATTTACAGTTGTTTTTAGACCCTCTATGTAGGTGGATACGGATAATGTTATCCAGTATTTTTAAAAAAAATAGCATGAAATTGATTTTTTTTATCGCAATACTTTTAATATTTAAGCATTGTGCTTATCTATGACGTACCCGAAAACAATTGAATTAATTTATTTTTTCAAATAATTTGTGCCCACTTTGAACTTTTATTGTAAAAAAAACTATTCGATATTTTCTATTGTTGTCGTTCTGTTCGAATGTTACTGTTCTAAACTATTGACCTTCTAAATAATTTTTTTTCCAAAAGTACAAGATAATACTATTTTTATCCACGTTCATATTGAGCCTCAGCAACTCGTAAAACATGCAAAATTTATTATAGGTTATACCAACTGTTCAATAAATATGTTACGTTATTCATAGAAATATTTGGAACATTACTTGTATTTCTTTAGTGATAGTGCTCTAGCTCGAAAAGGAAGCCGTTACGGACCCATGTTCATATGAACATTTAGTGTACAAATTGATCATCGATTCGATGGTTAAAGTTTGTTTACATACTTTATTAACACCCTGTATAATAAAAATCATGACGTAGACAGTCAAGTTTAAAAAACACCTATTTTATGTAACGGCGAGACCCGCAAGCTATAAATATAGCGTGATGCATTTGCTCTGTATATCTTTTGTTCTATATCAGGAACGATCCATCCATAAATGATGCCTCCACCCACCGTTCAACCCCGATGACAAAGAAAATATATACACGTCGACATATCGACTGACCCTCCTCTGTAGTTTTTACATCAAAGGTGAGGATGTCAGTGGTATCTAAATTATTTTCCTGATAGCACAACTTAAAAATTCATTATGAATTTTTTAGTACAACAAGTAGAATGCACATACATGCATATACAGGGTTGCCACGTCGTTTTTTTTGTTAATTAATAAAACAATGATAAATACTAACGGTTGGTCCAAGCAAAATAGTTGTCTAGTGGCGTTCAAACTTAGGCGCTAGCTCAATAAAGCGGAGAGTAGTGGAGGCGGGGGGTTAATAGCGCCAGTAACTTAGGACGGATTAAGCCACAACTCCCCGAGATGTTAATCGGAACTTGTTTTGCTTGACCACCACACAAAAGGAGAATCTAACAGAGATGACGAAATTTAAGTAACAGTACACACAGAGAGAGCCAAATAAAACAAGAAATTGAATGAATCACAATACATTGATTAATAAAAAAAAGCACATGTGCTCCACTACTGGAGTGCGAGTAATAAAAAAAGAAAGGATGTTATAAATCTTAAATACAACCTGACAAAATTATTTTTCGAGATAATCCCGCGAGACGTCTACCATGGTATACGCCCGAAGTATTTACAGATATTTTGCCCCTAACTATTAAACTTATCTGTAGGTCTTCTTTGTCAGGCGCGGCCGAGATGTCCTCAACTCTGGTCAAAAAGTGGCCAGTAGTGGGCACGTCACTGGGCAGGGGCTGCTTGCCTCGTTGCCAAAAATTATGGTAGTAAAAAAAATCCTAGAGAGAGAAAGACTGTTCAAAAATCTACTCTACTCTCTGTCTGAGAAAACTATTCATTGAAAATAATCGCAAAACCATGTACATTTTTTTGTACAAGAAAAGTAAAGCAAAGGCAGAGAAAAGATAAAAATGTACTAAACTAATATACCCTTGTTTTAAAAAGTTGTGGCAACTCAAAAATCAAAATCATGATCAATGTAATAGAAGGTGCCACGTAGGAACTGCCCCCATATTTGAATACGTAGAATGTCCAATAAAATCAGGAAGTCTCTAAGAATTTCAATAAGCAATGATAAATGTATAAAGATCTATGAAATTGTTAATTAGAATGATATTTTACCTGTTCACATCAGGTTTTTTTTTCACCAATTTGCAAAGCTGCAACAAGATGCAACCAACTGGAGGAGAAAGGATGATGATTCTCTTCAGTTTCTATTGACTAAAAGAAAGCAGATATTGAACGAACGTCATCAGGACACGCATTAAGGCACGTGGTCCGAAGGTATATAAAAAAGAATTTACCGCTGAGGATCAAAATTCCATAAAAAGAAATGGAGGACGTAGCACCCAAACCAAAATGACTAAACCTAAGTTACATAAAAAAGGGTGCTAATCCATGAATTGGCGCTTGGGGTCTAATATCCCAGTGTCCGGAAAATGACGAAACGACCCCTGCACCACAACCTCAACGGAAACAGAAAAGCGAATCCCGCAGAACACGTAACGTTCTAGAAGAAGGTATCTGGAGTGGCCTTGAAGATGATACGTTTTATAGAAAACCAACTAACGGAGAAAAACTACAGAGTTTTTTTGCTGATTGTCAACACCATACTGAATCGCTGAGAAAGAAAGATATAATACGAGTGAAATTATACAATCAATAAACTATTAAATTTGCTAAAAGAAAATCATTGAAAAGGGTTTGGCCTAGAGGCACTCTATTATCGATGAAGAAAAATTCAAATTACGGATAAGTGATAAATAGCAAAAAAAAAGGTTACGTGATTTTGGCACCTGACACCTATGAGTTGATCTCCCTCTAAGGTTCTTCTACGACTCTTCAGAAAAAAAGTTTGAATTGAAATATTCTGTTAATAACTTACATTTTATTATAATTTTATTTTGAGGTAATTAATTATGATTGATTTTTCGACCATCTTCTACTGTAATATAGACTCTTTGTGATTAAAAATTATTTTCTACTGTATAGTTCGGTTAGCTATAAAAGCGTGATTTTAGTTTTTTTTTAAACTATTATTTATAAGTTTACAAAACATAGCAATGCCGGAGGATAAAATTACAATGTCGACAGTCTGTGTTAAATTACATAACTATAACATTTTTAAAAAGTGAATAAAAGTAACTGCCCCCTGCCACACAGTTCATTTGCGTGTGCATTGTGGAATTTCCCTAAGGCAGTTAGGCTCCGCTCATGGTACAGTTAATCAAACTGCTTAATTATTTTGTATGGCATTGTGACCTGACCGAGAAACTACCCCTAATGATTGCAATTTAAACTTTTAACAAGAGTTACCAAAGTGAACACAAGGGGAAACTAATTTAATATAAAAAGGTCAAGGGCACTGCTGTGGGTGCTAGATCAACAAACCTCCATTTGGAAAGTGGATCGAATATTTCTCCAGTTGCTGTTCTTTATGAAAACTTAATTTCGTTTGGATGAAGCAAACCGACGTAATATGGATTATTCTGATTATACTTTTAGCCCGTATTCTGTTTTATCAATTGACTTATTGGAGGTTTTCTTTCGTTTCAGGGTCCAGACGTTATTAGAGTATCTAGGTTCTTCAAAGAAGCAAAGGAGGGAAAATTTATCAGTTACATCTATCCCGACGCTAAAACGTTATACGAGAGCTTCAGGAGAGGCTCAAAAGTATCAAGTGAGTAAATGAGCAAATTCTCTACATATTACATACCGAGTGTAACAAAAGTAAGAAAACGGCTCTGGATGTTTCCAGGTACGGAATTTTTGAAAAAGGTCAATGCCAGGTCTTTACTAACTTTGACTAAGGAGTGTGCGCAAACTAGGTCAACATCTGACCATCGTCACCCACCAATGGTTTGAAAAAATGATTTTCAAATACTACCAACTTTTTGCGTCCTTTGTACAATCGTAGCCTCATAAAAATTTTATCAATATTTTTCATTTTACAGACAGACTGTTAGACAGGTTTTTCGTGATGTACTTGTCATATAACATCAAAAAACATATCTCCATTTTCGAATTCTTCTGATAATTTTGTTATACACAATCCTGCTAAGCTTCTAGAAATATTCCCTAACCTCACACACTTGATCTTCATTTGATAGAGGTTTTTTTGATGCCCTTAATCTTAGCCTTATACGAGTACATATTCGGACATAGAATTTTCCGTTATTTAGGGCCAATTTTACGAACATTAATATTTAACGGTCCCTTGGACCAATGGGAAAACACTTTAACGAAATGCAATTTGACGGAAGCTGTCAAAGCTCTCTGAATATCAGTGATTTCTTTTAAAATGTTGAATAAGGTCGTGATAAAACGGTTGCCTTATAAATAAGGGTACATTATAGATGTATTATTATGTCTTTGTGCTTTATAGAATTTTCATAGAAGTTCAATAGGATGTTTTCACTGTTTTTGACGACTGTTCATGCATGGTAATCTAGTTTTGTCTGTATATCACGTACGGGGTCTTGTACATAATACGTACGTGTAGAAATGTGTACCGATTTTTGTTATTTTGCAAAAAAAAGGATATAAAACGTATTCCAATTGATTCATTATCTTTTGTTACATCAAAAACACTTTTAGCCAACTTATGTTCTAGAAATCCACACCAAACGTAAACAAACAGCACATTCTGCATTTCTGGGTCCTAAAACATCGATATTTGTAAAAGTATCTGCATCCACCTATTATTCATCGTCTAGACTTCTAGACTCTAGATATTATAAGTCAGAATCAAAAATACCTATTTATGAAAATGTATCTTCAAACATTGTTATGTTTTCTTATTATTTCTATTATTGTAACACGTCTGGGATATCAATTGCTTTTAAAGTGATCAGCACATCTGCAGTGTTGCCGAACCGGCAAAAAAAAACGGAATCGGTAAATAGTGTCGTTGAATTCGGTATAAGGTAAATGCCGTCCCAAGATCAGTGGTAGATCAAGGATCTTTGAGTCATGAAAAACATTTGCTATTGTATTGGGCGCGTTTTTTGAGGGCATAGGTCTATATTACAACTTCTACAATGTGCATACTGGTCGCTCTTTCAAAGTACTTTGCAACCATTCTGGAAACTCCTTTTTCGATGCTTGCTTAAGGGATTGTGCATATTTTTCTGTTTTACCCCTGAACTCACTACACATTTTAATTAAATATTTATTTTGAAAACAGACAGGTTTCGGTTTCTTTATTGCTTGTCCGGTGATGAGGTAATGACGGTAATCTACCAGTCTGTACCTTTTGTATGCACAAAAATCAATTAAGGGCAAACGGAGGAAGGGATGACGATGCGCGTTCGTAATCATAGGCAACCCCAATCTACGCCTTAGTGTGTATGCATATGTATGATTGATATGGGGCATAAAACTATGAAGACAACATAAAATTAACTTTTAGCTTTATTTCTGGTTTCAGCTCTTTTTCGGCAAGTATAGAAATATTTGAATTATTTTGAAAAATCGTGGAGAATGATGTTATCGGTAAATATTCTCTTTTCGGTAAAACTACCGAAAAATCCGGTTCAAATCCATGCATAGCTGGAATTTGCAATATGAATTTATGTTCTAAATTTTATGCATATCCGTTCATATTCGTCAATATTTCATTTAAGCTTTTATTTGTCATAAGATTTTAGCAAAATGTAAGATAGTAAAGGCAACACCGCACCCTGCAGCCCAGTTTTCAAGAACGATAAGCTTTCAAGATTAGGGATGTTTAGACCCACGAAAAGTATCGATATCTATCGATTCTTATCGATTTAGGAAGTATCGATACTCTAAAATATTGGAATTAAATTATCGATATCCAGCGGAAGGAAACAAAGAAGAAAAGTAGTCTGAAGTTAGTCACTCTTTCTGACACAGTCCGGATCGAAAGATGACGATACTCGTGAAATGTATCGATACACCCAAGTGTCGTATATAAAAATATCGATCCAAAATATCGGGTATGGGAAGCAAAAGTATCGATACTTCTAAATATAGGATCGTATCGAACACTTCCTGAACAACCAAAAAATATTTGACTTTATGGATTTATGGATATCAGAAATTCTGAATGGTTTTGTGGGAATATATCAATCGACGGTTCTATAATGGTATTGATGAACGGCAAGTAAATGAATGAATGTTTGGAAACGAGCAATATCTATGAAATTTTTGGTAGAGCCTGTTATCCAGTAGGTGCTTAATGGCTATCTGCAAGAGGTTAATAGGAAAAAAACACTGGTGATGTTGAATCAGTAAAACCGCATATCAATTGAAGAAAATAATATAAACATGAATAAACAATCGACAATATTAAGTAAAAACATGAATTTTATTCAAAAATCGAACACTTTTTAAATTTTGACTAAATTATATGTAATTTCTTAATATTCAATAAGCTGGTGATGTTTCAATAACAAGCTGTCATCTCATACTTTGACAGTATTTTGTTTTCAACATTTCATAGCTATTGGTTGCTAAAATTTGTTGATTGGAACTTGAAGCGTATTCGCTGTATTTGACGGACTGTTACCCTAAAGGTGGAGAATAACGGACTGTTGATTTGACAATCCTGGTGATATACACCCCAAATGTAGTGTAGACTTGACGTTGACGTTTATCAAAAACTCGTTACCTACAGAAACACAGAGTTGCTCCATTACATTTGTTGCACTCGGTATAAGGGCAAGGTCATTAGTAACCGTCACAAGTTGCAGATAAATTTTTCATTCATTGAGTATAAAATGGGTGCAAACTTCCGAGTCCCTAGACGTAGATATGTGAACAACAGCTCTGAAGTTTGGTCCTAAGTTTTAGTGATTTACACCCGATTCACTATTGTCAACGTTACAGACTAATATGAAGATGTCACTTGCTGATGAGATGTTCACCACAGTAGACGTCAAAACGTAATGAATACTCGTGAAATAACCCTTAGTGGTCTCGATCACTGGCCGCCGATAATGACCTAGTGTGCGGCAGTCCTTATGAGCTTTTTTCTCTAATTTTAAGATTCTGAGAAATGCCAAAATCTGACAGATGGAACGAGGATTTGCAGATACCAAAAAACTTCACATCATTATATTTTATTCTTTTAAAAAATACACTCCCAGATATCTACTTAAAAACTACTCACAAAAATATTTGTTCCTTGTGATAGTTATTACCAATACGAAAATACCAGCTGCTTCACATCAATTGATGTTGACGCAACTGACGCGTGGTGCGTCTAATGGTCTAATATTTACATTCAAAATAATTTTCGAGTGGGCTTTCACAACTCAATATTTACAGGTATCTTTCAAGCGTTCAGCATAATCTACCAAAGATATTTCGCAGTCGTTGCTATTATTATACTTACTATACGCTAAATAATTCGAAACGCTGATCGTCTTGAAATAAGTTTGCACTGAAATGTCTGACCGAATTTTGGATTGTAGTCATTAATGAGCGTTAAATTGTTTCAATCATCAAGTTCAAAATGTCGCATAAACGTGAAATTCGCAAGAATATCTACAATCTACAGTTACCCAAAACTAAAATTGTGAACTTGTTAAAAGAACTTGTTAAGAGTTACCCAGGCAAGCATTTATAAGGTATTAAGAAGTGCATTAATTTGTTGAAAACTGGAATACCCCTTGTTTTATCGAAAAATAGTGTCAATAGACGGGCAGAAATCCCTCAGGGCAGAATTGGAATATTTGGTTGAACTTAGCTCGCCGTTTAGAGTCTCGTACAAAACCGGTCAGATGAGTTTGTCAAGAAATGACGTCCATTTTCTAAAAAGAAGGAACTGTCTCAAAGAAATTGAGGCACAACTCGAAAGAATACATTGAAGAGTTGATGTGGACGCCGTGCTTTGTACCCAAAGACGCTTACAAGAACTTTTTATATTTCGATTAGATCAAATGCCAGAGGAATTGATGTATCTGGTGTATCTATCGAAATTTCAAAGATATTGTTCCCTACAATCAAAAAACATTTTTATTACATCATAAGCATATTTCTGGATAATGGATATTTTCAAGAAATATGGAAGAAGTTACGTATCATTTCCAAAACTTCTGGTTCTGGTAGTGACTCACGTTCCTTCACTGTACTCCGACCTGTCAAAACTACTTAGGATTATCTATCTACTATTTAAAAATCACTTAGATTTAAACAAACTTAAACTTTTGGACTTTTCAAAAGCGTTCGACACAATCAACATCCTTTAGCAAAATTGGGATATTTAGGTTTGCCTCAAAAAACATTTATTTCGATGCCACTTAGCTGGTAGAAAACAAAAAGTTCCCATTGCAGTGGAAATATCATCATCTAAATCTATTATTTCTGGTGTACCACAGGGATTCGTTTTGGGGCCATTATTTTTCACTCTCTACACGTTAAACTTTACGGAAGTTGTTAGGGACGATACTTGTAACCACATATATTTATCGTTTGACCCAAGAAATTATGAAACTCCTGCTTTAAAAATAAATGGAGATTTAGATGAAATATACAGGGTGTTCCTTAATGATATGCGAATATTTAAGGGTGTGAATCTACATGAAAAATTAATGTTAGTTTGCTTTATAAACTATGGTCCAGAAGTGTTTCCTCACAAAAACTCGGGGAGTTTTAGGAAAAAAATGGAAATTAATTAATATTTTCAGAACCGCTTCAGATATTTCACTGATA